CTCCTGTCTATGCACCTGTCCATGCATAACATACACCTGTCCATGCACAACATACTCCTGTCCATGCATAACATACTCCTGTCCATGCACCTGTCCATGCATAACATACACTTGTCCATGCATAACATACTCCTGTCCATGCATAACATACACCTGTCCATGCATAACGTACACCTGTCCATGCATAACCCCACTGCCACCATGAGCTACTCGATTCACAATGTTGACATCAGCAAACTTCTCACCCATGCAGCACCATACACACAGTCTGCCATCTGCCATGTACAGTGAAAACCAGGATTCTTCTATGAAGAGAACAACTCTCCATTGTGCCATATGCCACCGAATATGAGCATTTGCCCCCTCAAGTTGGTTAAGATGCTGAACTGCAGTCAGGTGGAGACCCCGATGAGGACGACGAGTATGCACATGAGCGTCCCTGTGATGGTTTCTGACAGTTTGTGCAGAAATTCTTTGGTTATGTAAACTGATTGTCGCAGCAGCTCTCTGAGTGGCTGGTCTCAGACTATCTTGGAGGTGAAGGTGCTGGATGTGGAGGTCCTGGGCTGATGTGGCTACACGTGGTCTGTGGTTGTGAGGCCGGTTTGATGTACTGCCAAATTCTCTGAAACGCCTTTGGTTTATGGTAGAGTAATTAACCTTAAGTTCATGGGTAAAATCTCTGGTGGACATTCCTGCAGTCAGCATGCAAATTGCACACTCCTTCATAACGTGCGACATCTGTGGCATTGGGCTGTTTGTTAAAAGTGAATATTTTAGAGTGGCAACAAAGTCCATGATCAATAATCCAGGTATACAATCCAACATTTTTCAGTCAGGTCATCTGGACAGTTTCTTTTTTTTTTTTGTGCTGAAACGTTTCGCCTTCGATCCGGAAGGCTTCGTCAGTCAAGGAAACACGCAACAAAACTGATTCTTCCCCCAACAGCTTACTCCAAAGTGGAACAAGACGAAAAGTTTCAGCACAAAAAAAAAAGAAAATGTCCAGATGACCTGACTGAAAAATGTTGGATTTTAGAGTGGCCTTTTATTGTGGTCAGTCTAAGGCACATCTGTGCAATATTCATGTTAAATCATCATAATAATCATCATCTTGATACGCCACACCTGTGAGGTGGATCGATCATCTCAGCAAAGGAGAAGTGCTCACAAACACAGATTTACACAAACGTGAACAATTTTTGAGAGAAAAACGCCTGTTCTGTACATCTTTGAGTTCAGCTCGTGAAAAACAAGAGCAAAAAGAAAAGTGTTGTGTTTATGTTTTTATTCTGTCACAGCCCTGACTGAGATTTCATTATCTCCTTCCCTGGAGCACGCACACAAACTGCAGCTGGGATTCTTTGCCATTTGAGTCTCTCAACATGACCAACATGAGATTTTATTATTGTTGCAGCATGTTCAGTAGAGAGTAACGTAGTGTTGGTATAATGAGCTAGGTG